GGAAATATGGCCCATAATGAGGAGGAAAATGGATCTATTGAAAGCAACCCAGAACTGACACAGATGTAAAAATTTGTAGAGACAAAGACATTAAAAGAATTATTAAACTGTATCCCACATGTTCGAAAAGTTAAGTAAGCTTGGGAAATACAAAAAAAGGATCAAAGGAAATCCAGAGCAAATAATATTGTCAGGAATGAAGAGGATCATTTCACAATGATAAAGGATTCAATCTTCAAAAGGACATAAATGTTTTATGCACCTAATAACAGAGCTTCAAAATAAATGAAACAACTCTGATAGAACTGTAAAATAGGCAAATTCACAATTATAGTTTCAGATTTCAATACTCTCAAAATTGACAGAACAAGTAGAATGAAAATCAGTAAGGACATCAAAGACTTGAGTAACAGCGTCACTCAATTTGACCTAACTGGTGTTTACAGAACACGCCACCTCTTAACAGCAAAATGCACTTTCCTTTCTAGTTTACATGGAACATGTTTCAAGACACACTATAACCCAGGTCATAAAAAACGTTTCAATAAATTTAAAAGGAGTCAAGAAATATAGAGTACTTTTGTTTTACCACAAAGGAATTAAATCAGAAATCAAAACAGAAAAATTTCTGGAAATTCCCCAAAGTGCTTTGAAACTAAGTAGCACAGTACCAAACAGTCCATGGGTCAACAGAGAATTCAAGAAGGAAATTACAGCATGTAATGAGAAAGGAAGAAAAATCAAAATTGGCGAGATGAGGCTCAAGTAGTGCTGAGAAATGTGCAGCAGTAAAAGCCTAAATTAGAAAAGAAGAACGTCACAAACCATGACTCTGCCTTCCACATCCAGACACGTGAAAAAGAAGAGCAGATTAAACCTGAAGTTATGAGAAGAAAAGAAATATTAAAGATAAAAGAAGGAATCCGTGAAATAGAAAACAAATCTAAGAGAGAAAGCTAGCAAAACCAAAAGCTGGTTATTTAAAAAGATAAATAATGTTGAGAAATCTCTGCACAGACTGATCAAGGAAAAAAGAGTGAAGACAAATTACCAATATCAGGAGTGAGAGAAGTGACATACATACAGATTCTACAGATATTAAAAGGATAAAAAGCATATGTTATGAACAACATTATGCCAATAAGTTTGACCTTAAAAATAATAGATAGAGCCAGCCTTTATGACTAGTAGTTAAAATTCAGCGTGCTCCACTTTGGCAGCCTGGGTTCAGTTCCTGGGCACGGAACCACACCACTCGTCTGTCAGTAGCCATGCTGTGGCAGCGGCTCACACAGCACTAGAAGGGCTTACAACTAGAATATACAACTATGTACTGGGGCTTTGGGAAGGAGAAAAAAGAAAAAGGAGAGAGAGAGAGAGAAAGATTGGCAACAGATGTCAGCTCAGGGTGAAGCTTTCCCAGCCCAAAAAAAAAAAAGATGCTAATTCCTTGAACTCCACAACCCATATTTACCTTGAATATCCTATCCCTATTTTGAAATGAAATTTCTAATGAAAAATCTTCTCTGAAGAAAACACCAGGTCCATACAATATCACTGGTGAATTGTATCAAACATTTTAAAAAGAAATAACACCAATTCTCTGCCAGAAAATAGAAGGGAACACTTCTCAACTCATTTCACGAGGCCAGTATTACCCTAGTACCAAAACCAGACAAAGACAGTACAGGAGAATAAAACTATAGTCCAATATGCCACATGAGCACAGACAAAAAAATCCTCAACAAAAATATTACCAAATAGAATCTAACAATATATCAAAAGAATAACAGGTCATGACGAAGTGGGTTTAACCCAGGAATGCAAGGTTGGTTCAACATTTGAAAAATGATCAGTGTAATCTAGGATATTAACAAACAAAAGCAAAAGAAAACAAAAGCTCATACAGTCATATTAATTGATGCATAAAAAGCATTTAACTGTCAGAGTCCAGCTCCAACAGAGTCCAGGTTCCTGAGTGATGCATGGCGTCGGTGAAGAGATTGAGACTGTAGTCCGAGTTGGTGGAAGCATGTCTGAAGGCTTTATTGTCAAGAGTGTGTTTATATATATTTTGAGGATTACACAAGCGTCTGGGATATATCTATTTTCTCCCCTGAAGTAGCTTGATTTTTCCCCATGATATCATTTTCCTTCCTTAATTTATCTGGGTCATCAGCAGTTTCTAAAGGTTACTTCCCTTATTCAGTCCTGGGAAAGAGCTGTTCTTTTCATTTTCTGGATGAGTGCAGTTAATATTTATAGATCTCTACAGTATTCTTTGTAGGGGGCGAGACTCAGGTTATGTTGGAGGATGGAACAAGCCTTGGGGCAAAGGTGAGCCAAGGTACGTTTAGACCAGGCACATACAGGTCCCCACATCCTCTTATATAACTCCCACACTGAGACATCTGACCCTTTAACCCTCTTTCCATCTATTTCTTTCCAGCTCCCCCACGTGTCCTCATAGTCCCATCTGTATTTCTTACTTACTTCCAACAGCCATTGTTCTATGTTTAGAGTGGATTTAGGTGTGGGAGGTAACCTCTGCATAGCCCTGTTCCCTCGGGGATGGGGGGGGGGGGGGGGAGGGTACCGCCAGCGTCCTTCTACCTTAATAGCCCGGGGTATTTCTCTGTCTGCAATGACTATAGGGGAAGGCAAGGGGATAGGCCCACATTTGTTTGGGAAGGGTCTTCCCCGATATCCCAGCTGAATGTCCCTCTTTCTTCGGCAGGGCCCTGGGGATGTTGAAGGAGTGTTAGTCAGAAGAGGGTCTTTCTTGTCTCTTACAGTGGGATTCACCTTTCCCAGCAGATTCCCCTGGGTAAGCACAAGTGTCATGAAGAGAGCCAATACAGCAACTAGTAACAGCCGTTTGAGCAAGGAGGACCCTCGGCCGTCCCTGCAGGGGTGGCTTTGCAAACTCCCGTGCTTCGTGTGCCCCGACTGTGTTGCTGGGCTGCAGCAGTTGCAGGACGGCGTCTGACATTTAACAATGTTTAACATCCATTTATGATAAAAATTCTCAAACGTAAAGATAGAGGGGAACTTTCTTAACCTAATATAAAGCATTCACCAAAAAAGCCTACAGTTAGAATTATACTTACTGGTGAAAGACTGAATGCTCTGCCCCTAACAAGGCAAGGCTGTCCACTCTCACTCCCTGTCTTCGGCATTACATTGGAAGTTCTAGCCAGCAAAATGGACAAGGAAAATAAATAAAAGGCATACTGATTAGAAAGAAAGAAATAAAACCTTACCTATTCACAAATGATAGTAACACCTACATAGGAAATCTTTTCTTTTTTTTTAAAGATTTTATTTTTTCCTTTTTCTCCCCAAAGCCCCCCTGGTACATAGCTTTATATTTTTAGTTGTGGGTCCCTCTAGTTGTGGCATGTGGGACACCACCTCAGCATGGCTTGATGAGTGGTGCCATGTCTGCGCCCAGGATCCGAACCAGTGAAACCCTGGGCTGCCGCAGTGGAGTGCACAAACTCAACCACTCGGCCCCACCCCTACATAGAAAATCTTAAGGAGTGTACAAAAAAAAAAATTCTAGAAGCAATAAGTGAGTTTAAGAAGGTAGCAAAATATAAGATCGACATTAAAAAAAAATCAATCAAGGGGCCAGCCCTGGGGCATATTAGTTAAGCTGGTGCATTCTGCTTTGGCAGCCTGGTTCGCGGGTTCGGATCCCAGCACAGACCTGCCTACACCACTCGTCAGCCACACTGTGACCCACATATAAAGTAGAAGAATATTGGCACAGATGTTAGCTCAGGGATAATCTTCCTCAGGAAAAAAAATCAATCATATTTCTGTATACTAGTAATAAAAATTTGGAAACAAAAATTTTCAAAATGGTACCATTTACAACAACTTCAAAAAGTGAAATACTTAGGTAGAAATATACAAAACATGTAGGACCCTATGCTAAAAACTACAAAATGCTGGAGAAATGTACTGTACTCATGGATTAGAAGTCTTGCCATAGTTAAGATGTCTGTTCTCCCTAAACCAACATATAGATTTAATACAATTCCAATAAAAATCCCAGCACGATTTTTTTGGAGATGCAGATGAGCTGATTCTAAAATGTATACAAAAGGCAAAAAATAGAATAGCCAAAATGATTTTTTGTTTTGAGGAAGATTAGCCCTGAGCCAACTGTTGCCAATCCTCCTCTACCTGCTGAGGAAGACTGGCCCTGAGCTAACAGCTGTGCCCATCCTCCTCTACCTCATATGCGGGATGCCTACCCCAGCATGGCTTGCCACGCGGTGCCATGTCCACACCCGGGATCCGAACCGGAGAACCCTGGGCCGCCAAGAAGCGGAATGTGCGAACTTAACTGCTGTGCCACTGGGCCAGCCCCAGCCAAGATGACTTTGCAAAAGAAGGACAAAGTTGGAGGACTCACACTACTGGATTTTAAAGCTTACTATAAGCCTACAGGAGTTAAGACAGTGCGATATTCTCAAAAGGATAGATATATAGATCAATGAAAGAGAATAGAGATTTCAGAAACAGATCTGCACAAATATGATCAGTTGTTTTTGTCAATGGTGCAAATGCATCTTGATGCAAAAAAGGTAGTCTTGTCAACAAATAGTGTTGGAACACTTGGACATTCATAAACAAACAAATGAACAAAACTGAACCTTTCCTCCCACTTAAAAAAAATTAATTCAAAATGTGTTATATATGTAAGTGTAAAATGTAAAACTATCGATTTTTTAGAAGAAAATGTAGGAGAAAATCTTGTGACCTAAGTTTGGCAAAGAGTTCTTAGGGTACAAAAAGCATGATCCATAAACCAAAAAGAAGATAAATTGTACTTAAAAATTAAAAGACACTGTTAAATGAATGAAAAGACAAGCTACAGACTAGAAAATACTTGCAATCACATACTTGACAAAGAACCTGAATCCAGAATATATAAAGAACTCTCAAAATTCAAAGATGAGAAAAACAAAAAAAAAAACAGAATAAGGAATAGATAAATTTGAAAAAACACTTCAGCAAGGAAGATATATAGATAACAAATAAATACATGAGAAGATGTCAATATCATTAGTCCTTTGGGAAATGCAAATCAAAACCACAATGAGATACCACTGCTCACCTATTACAAGGGCTGAGATGAAAAAGACTGACGCCACCAACTGCTGGTGAGGATGTGGAGCAAGTGCAAGTCTCATACTCAGCTGGTGGGGATGTTAAATGGCACACACACTCTGAAAACAATTTGACAGTTTCCTTAAATGTTAAACATTCACTTACACCTCTATCCAGCCATTCCACTCCTAGAAAGTTTCCTGAAGAATTGGAAGCATTTGTCTGTACAAGGACTTACACGACATGTTCATAGCAGATTTATTTGTGACAGCCCCAAACTGCAAGCAACTCAAATGTCCATCAACAAGGGAATGAATAAACAAATTGTCCTATAGCCATGTAATGAAATACTACCAGGCAATGAAATGGAGTGAATCACTGGCATCTGTAGCAACATGATTAAATCTGGAAATAATTATGCTGAAAGAAAGAAGCCAGAGGGGAAAATAAGAATGTCTATTGTATGATTCCATTTTTATAAAAATCCTCAAAAATGCAAACTAATCTTTAAGTGACAGAGCAGATCAGTCATTGTAGGGACCTGGGGGGAGGCACAGAGGGGCTGGAGGAAGTGAGGACACTTTTGGGGGCAGTGCATACATTCATTATTTCAATTGTGGTGACAGTTTCATGGGAATATATAAGGCAAAACTCATCAAATAGCATCCTAAAAAAAAAGTGTGGAAAAAAATCCCTGTTTTTATTTACTGTAAATCTGAGCCACAATCCCCCTGGGTTGTGGGAAATTCAATCTCATCCAGTGTCAGCCCCTCCACCCTGAGGGCTGCACCAGAATCCAAGAGACTTGCATGGTGCCCCCCAAAAAGCAAGCCACCCCGCCTCTGGGGCATCCCCGCTCCCAGCCGGTGTTCCCAGTCCCTGGCCGCGTGCCCCTCCCCCAGACTCAGTTCTCAGCTCCTGGCCCCCGACAGTTCAGCACCTGAGGTGAAGGTCATTGGTTGCCTCACTCTCCTTTTCCTCGTTCCTTTACCAAGTAGGTTGTGTGAAAGATGCAGAGAACTGAAAAATTCCCACTGATTCTGGAAAGACCTTAACTCCCTACTGTTCCTCTCCATCCCAAATGGTAAATGCAGCTTCACCAAAGCACAGCTCAGGGTCTGCAGACTCGCAGCCCCTGCATCCTATTCCCTACTAACACAACCTCAGTGTCCTCAGACCCTGAGAATTTGAATAGTGCCTAATTACCCGAGCAAGGTGAGCTCTGACTGACCTTCCCAATCTTACCTACACATCTTTCAGTTCCTGGCTCCCTACAGAACATTCTGGAACTCTTCCTACTTTGCAACATCTTAATAAAGGCTAAGCTAATGGCACTTACATGGTTTTCCCCCTCACTCCACAGTCTATATGTGATGTCTCTTCTAAGCCCACAAACGTAAGTCTGCTTCCCAGGAGGAAATCAGTCCCACCAGGGTCCAGGGACGTCCCCCTAACTGAGAATGTTGTGAGGGAAGCTCTGTGCAAGGCCCAGCCCTGGCCACTTCCACACCCACCCAACCCAGCGTGTCACCCTATGTCCCCACAGGTTGATTCAGCCTAAAGGACACTTCCCACTCTGGACTGCCAGAGTCTCAAGGCTGGTGTACAGAGCAACAGAGAGTCTGACTTGGAGACTATTTCTCAGCTTTTATGATGTTTCTTGAACCAGGGCTGCAAGTGTTGGGGACCCTTTAGTGCTTGTTTTTCGCAGGCCCAGCTCATCACAGTCCAGGTTTGAGGTTTCTTGAAGTCTGTGCCTTAGCTGTTTTCTCCTCCACTCCATGCAGAAGGCAGCAACTTCCAGTTCGTCTGGATCTGGGGAAGCTTGTCTCAAACCCTGGAGGAGAAAAAGATAATTAAGTACCGGGTGACACTGTGCACACTTCCCCAGTGTCAGCTGATTGGAGCTCTTAGGGGATTCCTCCGAGTGAGGTTGGGGTTGGTTTTCTGATGATCTGGAATAGAGATCAAGGAATCATGTTGCAGAGGTCTTCTGAATTGGAGCCCACTCATTCTGAAAGGAGCAGCACAAGAGAGCAAAGCATCTTATGCTTGTCACAATAGAATGTTCTGTGTAGTCAATTTTAAAAAAGTTCTCTACCTCAAATTCGCCTCCTTTTGGATCTTGCTTTATTCATTTTGCTTTACACAAACCATCCAAGGGTCTCTGGCTGGCAGCCTAAGCAGAGCCAGGACACAGGTGTACACTGCAAGCCCTCAGCCTGGCTCTCAGGTCCCCTGCACTCAACTGGCCTGGAGGGCGGGACGCGGGGACTGGCCCCACCTCGGGTGGTGCTGCAGGATGACTGGGAGGCTGTGGCTGCGTCCAGCGTGGGAGGGAGAGACGCTGCTCCACAGAGGCCAGGCCTGAGCTTTTCTCTCAGCCTCCTTTATATTCAAGAGACTCTGGAACTTGCAGCTAAAATATGCATATTTTCCAAATGCTTTTCACCAGGTGTGTCTATTTTTTGTACTCTTTGAACTTAACTGGTACAACGTTTCTTTAAACTTGAAAATTCTCATTCTATTTATTTAGCACCTCCACGCACTAGCTCACTATTCTAGGTCTGTGGCTTCATGGAGTTTACATTCTAATAAAAGAGCCAGAGAAATATATAAATGCAAGGAAAAGAAACAAACAGACAACCACAAACTGTGCTAAGTGCTACGAAGGAATTGTACAAAGAGAGGAAACTGGGTGTGATTTAGTTTAGATATAGTGGGGGCGTTTCATCCCTCTGAGGAGGTGGGAGTTATGTTTAAGCCTAAAGGATAGAAGGAGCCAGACATGGGGAAATTTGGTAGAAGCGGGGGGCTGGGGTGCATCTCACACAGGTGTAGCATGTGTAAAGGCTCCGGGCAGGGTGTCCCATTTCTGGCCTCCGCTTAGGATATAGAAAGCTGGAAAGAGTGTTACTCCCACCCTAACAATAAGAAAAAGTCAGATAATTCACAAAATCATAACTTTTCTTGAGCTCATGAGAGAGTTGAGGTTGAAGGGCAACTCACTAGCCTGGAATCTAAGAAAAGACACTCAGGAGAGACAGGGACACAGCACTGGCTCCTGAGGACAGAGCATGGGAGGAAGATGGGGCTACCAAATATCTGATGAGAATATTTTAGCTAAAACTCTTAACAAATTGCTAATGGCCAAGTGTAGACTAGCGTGGGTGTACAGGACCCATGGGAGCCAGAACACAAGAAAAAATACACACTTATTCACAGGCTTTCTCTAGGCCCTCCCCTGGTGCTCAGGAGAGATTTGGAACAGGGCAGGAGGCTGGGAACGCCTCTGTTGCGGTGCAGGCTTTGGCAAGGGGAGCTGCCACCATTGCAACAAAGGCACGAATCCCTGCCCACATTTGTCTCCTTATGGAAGAAAAGCTTTACATCACCGAGGGAAGGAGAGCAAACCCTGTCATCCCCAGGGCACAGGTCAAGACCATCGCAAGTGGAGAAAGGGAACAGAATACATCCCTCTACCCTGGGGAAGCAGCAGAAAATTGTCCTGAATTCATACTGTTAAAAGTCTCCTGTTGCTCTGGGAGGAGCAGGATCACTGAGAAAGCCCCAATCCTGAGACGTGGGGATACCAGGCCTGCCTACAACTGAGGCTGATAACAACAGCAACCAACACCGCCACCTCCTCTCTGGGCCAGAGATCACAGAGTCACAAGCAGCAAGGAAGCAATGGGAGAAGCAAGAATATTGGGGGAGACCATCTCTGAGGTGCAGGCTCACAAGGGAAGCCTCAAGTTGAGGGTGGAACAGGAACACTGATATGATCCCTCTGGTAACCCAGACCCCTCACTAAACACAAAGGGAATGCTAGAAACTTTGAAGCCAGTGGTGCACCAAGAGTGTCTATAGGACAATAACACACAAACTCAGCTCAACTCCTGACAATAGTGACTCACCTCCACACTAAACGCCTAGAAGAAGAGGTGTACCCATCTTCGGGTGTAAAACTATTCATTTAGTCTCTACCAGTCTACACACACATCAAGTTTTCAATGGAAAATCACGAGATATGCAAAAAAGAGGAAAAAACCCAACCCACTGTCAAGAGACCAAGTAACCAAAAAGCCCAGACTCAGATATGAGCCACATGTTGAAACTATCAGATAGAAAGTTTAAAATAACTATACTTAATGTTTAATGACTTTGGTGCAAAAACTGGGCAAAATGCATAAATGGAAAATTTCAGCAGAGACAAAAACTATTAGAGATAATCAAATGGAAATGCTAAACGTAAGAAAAAACATGGTGGTGATGTCAGCATCATGGCAGAGTGAACTTGCCCGGGCCTCTCTCCCCTCCAACATACAACAAAAAGGGGCAACCATACTCCAACAGAAGACATTCTAACAACACAAAAGCCTCAGAGAGACACGCAGCCACATGACCGAGGGCGGAGAGGCTGGAACCCCCGCCCTCGGAGGAGCTGGAATGGGGTAAGACAGAACTTCGCTCCCTCCCCTAAAGACTGCAGTCACTGCCAGGGAGGCTCCATGAGGGAAGGAGTGGGGGAGGGGTTGCACATCCACAGGATCACCCAGGACTACCACGGCCCTTGAAGCCTATAGGGAAGCCCTCTAATGGGGTGAAAGCTTTAACACAGGGTGACCTCATCAAGCCAAGACTTCAGGAGACCAGGTAGCAAAAGCTGAGCGAGAAATCTCAGACTGCACGCAGGAGAAAACGCCCCTCCCCCATCTCGTACTGCATTGAGCCATTTCTGTGCCATCTCCGCTGAAGGTGGAGGGCTCAGAATGTGCGGATCTTGACCCCCACCTGGTGGCGATAGGCTGTAAATGCAACTGAATAACATCAGAATGAGAAAGAGCCGACCTTCCAACATCAGACACTACATCAAATCTCCAGACCAGAGTGAAAACAATAAGCACCCAGAACTCAGTCCTGAGGACACAGAAATATGAAAACTAAATGACAATGAATTAAAAATAGCTATCATCAAAAAACTCGAGGTAAAAGAGAAGGTAGAGAAACAATTCAACAAGTTCAGGAGCTACATCACAAAAGAGAGTGAAACTACAAAGAAGAATCAATCAGAAATATTAGAGATGAAAGACACAATGGAGCAGATAAAACAAAATACGGATTCCCTGAACGCTCAAGTGGACGTCATAGAGGAGCAAATCAGCATAATCCAAGATAGACATGTTAAAATGCTCCAGATAGAGGAGGAGAGAGAACTAAGACTAAAAAGAAATGAAGAAAGTCTCCAAGAAATATCTAACTCAATGAGGAAATGCAATATAAGAATTATAGGTATTCAAGAAGGTGAAGAGAAAGAGAATAGAGCAGAAAGCGTGTTCAAAGAAATAATAACAGAGAACTTCCTAAATCTAGGGAATGTGAGGGAAATATGTGTGGAAGAAGCTTCCAGATCTCCTAGATTTCTCAATGTAAAAAAACCTAGTCCAAGGCATATAGTAGTAAAACTGGCAAAAGTGAATGACAAAGAAAGAATACTCAGGGCAGCAAGGCAGAAGAAAATAACCTACAAAGCAACCCCTATCAGACTTTCAGTGGATCTCTCTGTGGAAACCTTACAAGCTAGAAGAATGGAACGACATATTAAAATCTTTAAAAGACAAGAATCTTGAGCCAAGAATACTCTATCCAGCAAAAATATCCTTCAGATATGAGGGAGAAATTAAATTTTTCCCAGACAAACAAAAGCTAAGGGACTTCATAGCCATGAGACCACCCCCCCTCCCCCCGCCACAAGAAATCCTCAGGAAGGCCCTCATACCTGAAAAAAGAAAAAAAGGGAGAAAGGGGTCACAAAACACAGAGTCAGGAGATACATAGGTAGACAGAATCAGAATAGGATAGCAAAAATTCAACTATAGCATTAGGCTAAAGGGAAGGAAAACACCAAAAACAAAGACAATCTTGTCACTTTAACCACAAAGTCACAACACAAGTTGGAATAAGATATGAGAAAACAACTTAGGAGGGGAGGAGGAAAGGGACTGAATCAGTTTAGACTAAGGAAATAAGAGGCCATCAGAAAAGGGACTTATACATGAGATTCTGAATACAAATTTCAGGGTAGCCACTAAACAAAAAAGCAGAACAGAGACACAAAAAATAAATAAGGAAAAAAACAAAGAAACACGTCATCAAAAACTACATAATTCAATGGGGAGACCAAAACACACAGGACAAGAAACAAAGTAAATGCAGGAAAACCAGAAAACCAGTGATATAATGACAACATTAAGCCCTCATACATCAATAATCACCCTCAATGTAAACGGACTGAACTCTCCAATAAAAAGACACAGAGTGGCAAGATGGATTAAAGAACAAGATCCAACAATTTCTTGCCTCCAGGAAACACACCTCAGCTCTAATGACAAACACAGGCTCAGAGTGAAGGGGTGGAAGACGATACTCCAAGCTAATGGCAAACAAAAGAAAGCAGGTGTTGCAATACTTATATCAGACAAAGTACATTTCAAGATAAGGCAGGTAAAGAGAGACATAGAAGGTCAGTATATAATGATCAAAGGGACACTCCATCAAGAAGAAATAACTCTTATACATATCTATGCACCCAACACAGGAGCACCAAAGTTCACAAAGCAACTATTAACAAACCTAAAAGAAGATATTTAAAATAACACAATAATAGTAGGGGACCTCAGCACCCCACTCACATCAAGGGATAGATCATCTGGACAGAAAATCAACAAGGAAACAGTGGAATTAAATGAAAAGCTAAACCAATTGGACTTAATAGATATATATAGAACACTCCATCCAAAAACAGCAGAATACACATTCTTCTTAAGTGTGCATGGAACATTCTCAAGGATAGACCATATGTTGGGAAACAAGGCAAGCCTCTATAAATTTTTAAAAAATTGAAATAATAACAAGCATCTTCTCTGATCATAACGCTATAAAGCTAGAAATTAATTACAAGAAAAAGGTGAGAAAGGGACAAAGCTGTGAAGACTAAACAACTGCTATTGAACAAGCAATGGATGATTGAAGAAATTAAAGGAGAAATCAAAAAATATCTGGAGACAAATGAAAATGATAACATACCATACCAACTCATACAGGACACAACAAAAGCTGTATTAAGTGGGAAATTCATCACAATACAGGCACACCTTAACAAACAAGAAAAATCCCAAATAAGCAATCTTAAACTACACCTAACTGAATTAGAAAAAGAAGAACAAAGCCCAAAGTCAGCAGAAGGAGAGAAATAATAAAAATCAGACAAAAACAAATGCTATTGAAACAAAAAAGGCAGTGAAAGGATCAATGAAACAAACAGCTGGTTCTTTGAGAAGATAAATAAAACTGACAAACCCCTAGCCAGAGTTACAAAGAAAAAAAGAGAGAAAGCTCAGATAAACAAAATCAGAAAGAGGAGAAATAACAACAGACTCCACAGAAATACAACAGATTATAAGAGAATACTATGAAAAACTATATGCCAACAAATTGGACAATCTAGAGGAAATGGACAAATTCTTAGACTCTTACAATCTCCCAAAGCTGAGTCAAGAAGAAACACAATCTGAATAGACCAATCACAAGGAAAGAGATTGAAACAGTAATCAAAAGCATCCCAAAGAATAAAACCCCAGGACCAGATGGCTTTCCTGGGGAATTTTACCAAACTTCCAGAGAAGACTTAATACCTATCCTTCTCAAGCTATTCCAAAAAATTAGGGAAGATGGAACAGTTCCTAACACATTCTATGAGGCCAACATCACTCTGATACCAAAGCTTGACAATGACAGCACAAAAAAGGAGAACTACAGGTCAATATCGCTGATGAACATAGATGCAAAAATCCTCAACAAAATTTTGGCAACCCAAATTCACCAATACATCAAAAGTCTCACACATCCTGATCAAGTGGGATTCATACCAGGGACACAGGGATTGTTCAACATCCGCAAATCAATCAATGTGATACACCACATCAACAAATTGAGGATTAAAAACCACATGATCATCTCAATAGATGCAGAGAAAGCATTTGACAAGATCCAACAGCCATTTATGACAAAAACTCTTAACAAAATAGGGACAGAAGGAAATTACCTCAACATAATAAAGGCCATATATGACAAACCCACAGCCAACATCATACTCAATGGGCAAAAACTGAGCACCTTTCCCCTGAGAACAGGAACAAGACAAGGATGCCCACTATCACGACTCTTATTCAACATAGTACTGGAGGTTTTGGCCAGAGCAATTAGGCAAGAGAAAGGAATAAAAGGAATGCATGTAGGGAATGAAGAAGTGAAACTCTTGCTGTTTGCAGACGACATGATATTATATATAGAAAACCCAAAAAAATCCATCATAAAACAAATCGAAATAATTAACAACTACGGTAAAGTTTCAGGGTACAGAATCAACTTACAAAAATCAGTTGCTTTTCTATACTCCAATAACGAACTTACAGAAGGAGAACTCAAGAATACAAATCCCATTTGCAATCACAGCTAAAAGAATAAACTATCTAGGAATAAATTTAACCAAGGAGGTGAAGGACTTATACAATGAAAACTATAAGACATTACTGAGAGAAATTGATAATGACATAAAGAGATGGAAAGAGATTCCTTGTTCACGGATCAGAAGAATAAACATAGTTAAAACGTCCATACTACCCAAAGCAATCTACAGATTCAATGCAATCCCTATCAGAATCCCAATGACGCTCTTCACGGAAATAGAGCAAAGAATACTAAAATTCATATGGGGCAACCAAAGACCCTGAATTGTTGAGGCAATCCTGAGAAAAAAGAACAAAGCTGGAGGTATCACAATCCCTGACTTCAAAATGTACTACAAAGCCATAGTGATCAAAATGGCATGGTACTGGTACAAAAACAGACACACAGATCAATGTATCAGAACTGAAAACCCAGAAATAAAACCACACATCTACGGACAGCTAATCTTCAACAAAGTTGCCAAGAACATACAGTGCAGAAAAGATAGTCTCTTCAATAAATGGTGTTGGGAAAACTGGACAGCCACATGCAAAAGAATGAAGGTAGACGCCATACACAAAAATAAACTCGAAATGGATCAAAGACTTGAAGATACGTCCTGAAACTATAAAACTCCTGGAAGATAATATTGGTAGTACGCTCTTTGACATCGAACTAAAAAGGATCTTTTCAAATACCATGTCCTCTCAGACAAGGGAAACAAAAGAAAAAATAAGCAAGTGGGGATTCATCAGACTAAAGAGCTTCTTCAAGGCAAAAGAAACTAGAATCAAAACAAAGAGACAACCCACCTATTGGGAGAAAATATTTGCAAACCATATATCTGACAAGGGGTTAATCTCCATAATATATAAGGAACTCACACAACTGAACAATAAAAAAACAAACAACCCGATCAAAAAATGGGCAGAGGAGATGAACAGACATTTTTCCAAAGAAGAAATACAGGTGGCCAATAAACACATGAAAAGATGTTCAAGATCACTAATAATCAGGGAAATGCAAATCAAAACTATGCTAAGATACCACCTTACTCCTGTTAAAATGGCTATAATCACTAAGACTAAAAATAACAAATGTTGGAGAGAGGGTGGAGAGAAGGGAACCCTCATACACTGTTGGTGGGAATGCAAACTGGTGCAGCCACTATGGAAAACAGTATGTAGAGTTATCAAAAAATTAAAAATAGAAATACCATACAACCGAGCTATCCCACTATTGGGTACTTATCCAAAGAACTGGAAATCAACAATTCAAAGAGACTTACGCACTCCTATGTTCATTGCAGCATTATTCACAAAAGCCAAGACATAGAAGCAATCCAAGTGCCCATCGACTAATGATTGGATAAAGAAGATGTGGTATATATATATACAGTGGAATACTACTCAGCCATAAAAAGACAAATTCATCCCATTGCAATATCATGGAAGGACCCAGAGGGAATTATGCTAAGCGAAATAAGCCAGTCTGAGAAAGACAAACACCAGATGATTCACTCATATGTGGAATGTAAACAAGTACCAGGACAAAGAAAACAGTTCAGTGGTATACCAGGGGAAGGGGGTGGGGAGGGTGGGCACAGAGGATGAAGGGGAGCACTTATGTGGTGACAGTCAAGAAGTAGTGTACAACTGAAATCTCACAGTGATGTAAACTATTATGAACTCATTAAAAAAACAAACATGGTAACAGATGATAAACACTTTGACAAGCTCATCAGCAGACTGGACACAGCTGAAGAAAGAATCAGTGAAATCGAAGGTAGGTTGATAGAAACTAGCCAACTGACACACACAGGAAATAAACTGACAGGTTGGGGAAGGAATGAAGTTGAATTTCATAATAAGAAGTAGATTTTCCTCATCAATTTCTGAAATTTACCACATTTCTCTCAGCCTGTGACCCCAATGGTGCTGTGTGAATGATGCTATTGGGGTCAGCACTTACCCGGAGACTTGCGGCTTCTGCAGCCCCCACAGTCTTGGAGACAGCACAGAGGAGCTGCTGTGCATTTTCTACCAGGAGCTCTTCAGAGGACTTGCTTCTGGCCAGGGAGGCCTTTACACTTGGGAGTCGACAGGAGGAACACTGTTAACATTGCCCCAAGTAAAAGGTGCAATCCCAAATAAATAAATACCAGAAGGTTTTAACGTGAGCCTCTTCCAGAAAGCTGGGATGCCTTTGTGGGGTCTATTCAGAGAAAGAATGTTCTAAAGGCATAATTTAATATCTTAAAATAAAATTTATACTTTGATACTAAGAAAGTATGACTCACGTAGTATCTATAAATTAGCAAGAAGAAGTAAGGTTTTTTTCTTGAGGTAACATTGGTTTATAACATTATAGAAATTTCAGGTGTCCATCGTTATAATTTGACTTCTGTATAGACTAAATCGTGCTCGCCACCAAAAGTCTAGCTGCCATCCATCACCATACACATGTGCCCCTTTACCCCTTTCGTCCTGCTCCCCACCCCCTTCCCCTCTGGTAATCACCAATCTGTTCTCTGTATCTGTGTTTGTTGTTGTTTACTGAAGAAAAGTTCCAGAACATCCATATATAATGAAAGGGAACAAGAAATTTTGTCTAGAATAGCATTCAGGACTTAAAATAAAAGTTCTAATCAAAGATCGGACTGGTATTTCCTAACTGAATTACACACCTCAATGATATTTGTTTTAAACTGAATGTAACTGAATTTAGTAAGACAAGTTTTTGTTTTACCAATGAAAATGAAGATGCTGTGAAACTTCAGTGACTATCAGTGACAATCTCAGGACTTCCAGAGCCTTTAGAAGATTGAGAGCTTGATGAACACAGGTGTATTAATTATGCCTTTTTATTTTCTGGATTTCTGATGCATGACATCTTAGAGTCTTGCTGACATTGGAAAGACTGCCCCTCCCGGGGTTAGTCAATTCCTAGAGATAGTAAACGACTCACCTGCAAGTGCACCTTCTATATGCAAAGTAGCCAATCTGAAGCCCACAGCCCCACCACCTCCTTTATGGGGCTCTCACACCCTAGGCCACTGTTCCCCTGCCCCAGTCACCCCAGGGCCAGGTACCAGACAGCTAGAGACAACCTCCATACTCCAGAGCCCACCTAAATGATTCAGTGAACTAGCCAATCCTAAACGTGTTTAGCCTGCTTACCCTGCCTTGCCCATTCCTTCCCATGGAAACTGCAATGAAGGCTCCTGTCTGTGCTGTCCCCTCCCTCCTTCTGCTTATTGATTGACCCCGGTGCTTCCCCATGTGGCCCGGCATGGCATGCCATGCCTCCTGTTTCTAGGGACCTGTGAAGGATCTTCTTCCCTCACGACAATCATTTCCATATTTGTGTGTCTTATCATTCCCGATTTAAACAAATCCTGAGTACCCTTACAACAATACTCATACTTGAATTTTAGCCGTTCCTGTATGTTAAGTAGAAAAATCGGGGTAGCTAATCTTGAGATGATTACATACCTGAAATGTTATTTCCTAGGGAACAGTAACCAGGTTTTATTTTTAGTTTAAAACAATTTATACACCCTGGTGTTGGTGATGTTATTTTTGTGTGTGTGTGAGGAAGACTGGCCCAGAAGTAACATCTGTTGCCAATCTTCCTCTTTTTGCTTGAGGAAGATTGTCGCTGAGCTAACATCTGTGCCAATCTTCCTCCATTTTATGTAGGACACCGCCATAGCATGGCTTGATAAGCGGTGTGTAGGTCTGTACCTGGAATCCGAACCAGAGAGTGTGGGCTGCTGGAGCGGAGCATGCGGACTTAACCACTGCGCCATTGGGCCAGCCCCGGTGATGTTATTTTTATGCCTCACAATAACTGATCACGGTTTTAACTATCAAGCTTTTCCATAAGATAAGTAAATTACTAATAAAAGTTTGTTACTGACAAATGCACCACTGCAGGTATCAAGGACTCAGGTTGAAATGAAATCATTCTATACTGACATTACGATGTTCTATATTATCGACATGAAAGCTGTTATATGGAGACAATTAACAAAAACTGCTCAAGTCCAGATTTTGGGCACATTAAATGAATTAATCTTAACACAAAATCCGTACCGGCATAGTTTTTCTTAGGGAGATGACATTCACAGTGCTTTCACTTTGCAATTAGTGTATTTTTTATAGATAACTGGGACTTCATTAGATATGATTAGTATAAAAACAAATAGAGAACTAAAGGTCAAAATTTAAATGTGATTATAAAGCAGAGATCAGTCATTTGTGTTTGCAGATTAACCGTGAAGTGATGAGAGCACAGCAGCACCCCTGGAGGGAGTGCACAGTGTCGTGAAGGGAGGATGGACCAACGGGGAAGAGCTCCTAAGTTCTGAGGGATACGGTTTTAAAAAGACTCAGGTGCCGGCCCCATGGCCGAGTGGTTAAGTTCGCGCACTCCGCTTCAGCAGGCCAGGGTTTCACCAGTTTGGATCCTGGGCATAGACATGGCACCGCTCATCAAGCCATGCAGAGGTGGCATCCCACATGCCACAACCAGAAGGACCCACAACTAAAAATACACAACTGTGTACCGGGGAGCTTTGGGGAGAAAAAGGAAAAATAAAATCTTTAAAAAAAAATCCTTATGTTTACTTTATGTTCACACCTCCTCAGGAACTAGTTTCCCAGGTTAAATCTTTTTTTTCTTTCTTATGTATATTATCAGATATAATATATTTGTGATACAATGGGAGATAACAGTGGCTTAAATGTTTTTTGTGCTCTGTAATAATTCTCTATATTTTCAATATTTGATATTCCCAAATAAATGTGGATTCTTGGAGGATAAAACATGAAAAGAAGTATAACAAAAAAAAGGAATTATAAGCCCCCTCTGAGCCCTCCCTCTGGGTCTTGAGAAAGTGGAGCAAGCAGTTTCCACCGAAGACGGCTCCTACCCGGAGATGATGCGGAGCTGGCTGCTCACTGTCTGAATCTGCTCTACCGCACACAGAAGCTCCTGGGAACATCTTTGATCTGTGCAGTTCTTAGCAATGATGCAGATAAGTTTGGCGAAGTTTTGTCCAGAAGTCGCAATTTTCCTAGCAGAGGTGATGAGCTGATCTTTGGTCTATATCAAAAGAAATGAAAGAGTTAGGTGTGGGTAAACACCGCCCTCACAGGTTTTCCCTAAGAAATTGGCAGTAAATTGGAAAGCATCCAAAACTCGCTTGGCACAACTTACTTCAGCCCCAGAATGAATATATTTGAGCTTGGTTTAAACCATGATCTCCTGAATCACCTCCGCAGGCTTCCAGAACAGCCTCTCCTGAGTTAGTAAGAAGCATACTCTCCTGGAAACCAGCAGAATGAGGTGGCCCAGGCCCATCTGTCTGTGGAGGATGCTGAAGGGAAGGCAGCCCAGCCTCTGGTCACGAGCTAGCCCTTTCTCCACGGGAGCTGTGGCCTGCACGAGGCTCAGAGTTAGTTTTCATCAGGCCCAAGGGAGAAATGAGCCCCTAAGAAGGGCCCAGGTGTGGAGAACACCCCGGTTGAATGGGGTCTTGGCTGGTGCAAAGGACTACAGTCACACGTAGAGCTTCCCAGCTGGGAACCAGTAATTAATGGGCTGGGGACAGAAGTCACCCCTTAGTTAGCTGATTTGAAATTTTTTATTTTTTTTGAGGAAGATCAGCCCTGAGCTAACATCTGCTGCCAATCCTCCTCTTTTTGCTGAGGAAGACTGGCCCTGAGCTAACATCCGTGCCCATCTTCCTCTACTTTATATGTGGGATGCCTACCCCAGCATGGCGTGCCAAGCGGTGCCATGTCCACACGGGGATCCGAACCGGTGAACCCTGGGCCACCGAAGCGGAACGTGCGCACTTAACCGCTGCACCACTGGGCCGGCCCCTGATTTGAAATTTTAGTTTCTCTGGGCCTTATTCTTCTTCATTTGAAAAGAGAGATTTGGACTAGATCAGCAGTTTCCATTCCTTTCCTTCCTTCCTTTCTTTTTTTAAGAGCAACAGAGCCCTTTATCCAAATAAATTCTTAAACATAGTGGTGAATGTTGAGGCAGCTAGCACAGGTAAAAGGTGGGCTGCTCCTGGTCATGCGGAGCCCAAAAAAAACCTCGCCTGCTTGTCTGGGATGAGCAGGTAAATGGCCTTTCAACAGGCCACAGGAAAGTAAAAATAGGGGGCCAGAGGAAAACCCAGGAAGGGCCCCAAGTCCTGCTGATGTAGCCAGCCTGCAGACAGGGTGGCCCCTCCTCCCCAAATTTGGCTCAGACGCTGAGACTGATGATGCCACACATGAACCAAGAAGGTATGGACAGTTTTAGTACTCACAGAATGAGGCTTTCTGGGGACAGCAGGGCAGGCTCCCAACCAGGTCGGAAAACAGCTTCAGAGAGCAAGGAAAGGAGACTGGCTTGGCTTCTGTTGTGGCTGGGGATGGCGCCGGGATGCGGGTGTCCACTCATCAGCCAGGGCTTGTGTGGTCTGAACTGACCACTGGCACCAAAGAAGGCAATGCCTGGGCTTTTTCATTGACTTGCCCAGATGAGGAGCAAGAAGGGAAGGGGGGGAGGGGGCTTGAAAGCTGTCAGCAGAGATCAAAAATGGGGCCAGACTCTTTTGTACCTGCCCTGGTGAGGGACCCTAAATGCCATGAGGAATGGACACTAACTTAATGGACAGAGCTTAATTTTCCTTGCCCCATTCTTTTCATAACGGCTGGCCCTAGTTGGGAACCATTTCCTGGCACCCTCTTCTCCACATATTGTGCTGTCTCAGCTTCTCCAGTAAGGAGAAAACAATTCTATTAAACCTAGCATTAGAGGCTTAGTTTATTAGACGTATTGGCAATTCCAGATAAGAAAGGAGTGAGTACAGGCATGTCCAATGCCTAATTCAAAGCAATCCCAAACTCCGTGGCAGACCAGAGGGAGAAACCTTTGGGAACAGAGACAGCCTTTGTGAAACACAGGACTCAAACAGCTGTTCCTAAATTAGCCAAACCTGCCAGGTCGTTTGGCACAACGTTGCCCCTTCTTTTCTAAAGACTGATGTCGCAACCCCAAACCGAGAGCCATTCAAAACATCCAAGGCAGCACCACTTCTTTATGATGTCCCAGGAGAATATGTGGATCCTCAGACCCTTGAGAATTTGTTTTATGATATGGCACCCCAGTTAGCAAATGAGTCCTAAAATATGGATTTCGCTTCTCCTTGGATGAGGCTCGGGTCTGGCCCAAGCTCTTTGCATCTGTCAGCTCTCTCCCAGTACTAAACGTGGGTTTGATTACCCTGATTTCGGAATCATTGGTCTTTAGGATAAGAATGAAAAGGAATACTGAAAGGATGAGGATGAGGGGAGGGTGAGAGAAGAACCCCCTTTTGTCCCATGGATATTTTATTTTATACACATTGCTACAGTTCCTTAACCTGGATAATGACTTGAGGAATTGGCATTGTTCTCTGCTGGCACACAGAAAGTGTTCAAATGAAGATGTGAAATATGACGTTGTGGAAAGTCTTCAGTAAGATCACCTCCATGTGTGAAGGAGAAGGGCTCAACTGAAGAGGTCAAGCCGGAATATTCCAGAACTCAAAACCCAGGTCTCAAAGGTGCCAGAGAAAACTCAAACCACATGAGAAGAGTCTTGTGTAGACCTCTGCCAAGAAAGAAGACGCTTACGTTTTCTGCCTCTCCAAGGAACACCTTCCCACCTTCCTCCTTGCTTCCTCCAACTCCACCCCCAGCCTCGGGGCTGAAGAGTTGCTAATACATCTGACTTAAGTTAGTGTCACAGACTCTCAGTGTTCTAATTCAGGGAATCTTAGTTCCTTCACTCCTATGCGGCCGGTTGCCCCCAACCAGCCATTTTAAACTCTTTTCTCTTTTTTTCTCAAGAGTACCAGGTACTTTGGCTGTTAGAATCTGGTTGGTGTTAAGACCAGGATTTGAAGGCTTTGGGGGAGAATGCTGCCTAGTCACTCCACTTGACCAGGCACTAGCCTCACCATAGAAAATTATCCTTTGTTTTTCCTTTTGTCATTTCCTGTAAGTGTACATTTCCCTAGGGAACTCCCTGGGATGGAGGGTTTGCATATTCCTGGCCCCTCAGCCACACACCAAGGCCAGCACCCAAGTCCTGTATAAATTAGAGTATCTGAGACATTTGGAAAGAAACTGAGAGTCAGCCAGCAAAGGTAACCACGCCCACTTCTGATCTAATGACCTTAGGGTAACTGACTGAGAAACTGACTGGGCAGGGGTTGGGAGGAGGGACAGGACAAGGAGAGGCCCGAGTCTTGGGCGTGGCACGACTGCTGGGCTCAGCTTTGCAGTCACCTCATCAGGGGGTGCCCTGACGTCCAGCCTTCTCTTCTGGGCCCCCTCCCCTTACACCCAGAATGAGAAGGTGGGGCCCTATGGGGCCCAGTCATGGATTCTGGAGCCATCAGTACCCAGCAGACCTACACTGGAAGGAGTTTTCTAAATGGCTCTTGAAGCCATTCTCTCTCTTCCTTCTGGTCCACACATTTAGTAAATGGACTCTTTTTTTTCAGTGTTGGTGTGTGGATGTTAAACAATGCTTAACTAACTTTAACCAAGAAGAGGGCCAAAGAGAATTAGAACCAGTCACGCATGATTGAAGCAGCCCCCTTCCTCTCCAGGCTGGGCTGGCCCTGCACGGCTCTCATCCCGCAGGAGGTCAAGCCCTGTGAGCTCTAGTTTGCGGAATTTTTAAAGGTATAAATGGCTCCCTTCAGTTCATCCTGCTGGGATGTGGATGAGTCCTTGATTTTACCAAATTGCAGCTTCTGGCAATTATCTGTCCATAAGAGGAATAAGACAAAGCCTCTGTAACTGAGCCCAAAAGCAGAGGGGAAGAGAGAAATGAAGTGGGCTTTATGATATGCCCAGAGAGAGAAAGAAGAGAGCATGTAAAAATGTGAAGTGCCCAGGGGCCCCTGAGTGCCGCCCTTCCTTCCTGGGAGCTGCCCCTGCTGGCCCGGCTCCTGGGGGACAGTAGTTGGGAGCCCCACTTCCCCCATGGTGCCATTTCCTCCCACCACCCCATGAAGGTGTGGGGACCTGGAATTGGCCACCCCAAGATATGTCTCTTTGGCATCAGGATTATTTGAGGCTGATTGCTTTTGATAAACTGGGACAGGCAAGGAGGCTCTGAGGAATGGAACTTGCCCTTTGTTAGGACACATTTACGTTTGTAAGGTAAATCTCTATCTGTAAAAGGTGCCTCCCTCTCTGTACCAGGAAGAAGAAAAATGACCTTCTCTCTAGAAACTCTTAATCAATACCAAAGGCAAGGACTTAAATCTGCATTTTATTGTGCTAGGCTGCTAACCTCCTGTAACTGACTTCCCTCCCCCTCCCAACGTTGGCATTTCTTAAGGATTAAGCATCTTTCCTTAGGCTAGGAACTGATTGCTGCGCTCACCTGTGACCACCCGGCTCAAGACAATAGACTTGCCTCTTGCTACGCCCTCTGAGACAGCAGACCACTACCTGCTGTGTCCATCAAGCACTGTGCCGACAGGGCAATCTTGTGACTATTGTGGGAGGGACATTTCAATCACATGTGAAACACCCTGTTTGGGGGTATATAACCACTATGTGCACCCCACTTCTTTGGTGCCCTTTCTTCCTTCAGGAAGAAAGGCCCCGGGCCATGGTTCCTCATAAAGCTTTGTTTAATTTTCTCTTGCTATTCTGTCTCATGTGAATTTAATTCATTCTCCAGCCAGACGAACGCACATTTGGGAAGAGGAAATGTCTTCCTCCCCTACAAAGGCCAAGTACCATGATGCGTCCTCTCCTCCTCAAACTCTGGGCCATTAGGAACACCTCCTTGGCCATCTCCCGGGTAATCTGGGTGATTCTGTTCCCACTGTCCGCGCTGCCGTCCTCCGGCAGAGGCTGGTCCAGATCAGCGCGCAGCCAGGCTGGACAGCCAGGGGCGCTGGCGGGGGTGCCGCTCTGCTGCTGCTGTAAGAAGAAGACAGAACTAATGAAACTCCTGATTCTCAGAGCTTTAAACTACAGTGGGGATGTGAACAGCCTTTTTATCATTTTATAAAGAAGAGTGAGAATCCAGAGGATTTCCCGATTCCCACATGCCAGCAGTTCTTGGCAATTTTCTCCAAATATGTAGGAAAACAGTGAGAAGAGGAGACAAGGAGCCCATTACTCTGTGTTCCATTCATCCAGAATTGACAAAAACTGAAACCTCGCACACTCAGGTCCCAGGATAGTTAACGTATGACGTTTTCTTTCCCTCTGTGAATTTTTAAGCCTTACGTGGGAGAAGGGAGAATCTACAGCTTCTTGAAGAAATGCAGGAATCCTCGAATGATCTGAGCAGAGGGGACTTAGGGTGCAGGGGAAAAGGGAAATGCCTGCTCTCCCCCCAGCTATGTTGGGAATAGGGCCCCTTCTCATGGTGATGACATTTTAATGAGAAAAACAAAGACTAATGGGGTGGAGAAACCCATGGTCTGGTCAGCTTTATCTTGGGAGAAGAGCCAGGGAAGGGCCTGGGATGGTCTGTGCGGCCGAGCACAAGGTCAAGAAGAGGACAGATCAGGTTGTACATAAAATGCTGGGCTGAGCACGTCTGCAAGGGAACTTCTCGGGCACTGCCAACCTACTGTATCCCCCACTGACTTTGATCACAGTCAGTATAAGTCAATCAAGTGTTTGGGATCCGTGATGCCTAACTGTCCTGTCTGGTGCCCTGGAAGGAAATGACCATGTGTGGAAGCCATTGAACAGACCCAGCATCCTTCCAGTCAATCCTTCATTTTGCCTGTGCTGGTTCAACATAGATTCCTGCCACTTGCAAACAAAAGAACCCCAATTGGAGCAGGGAGGTAACATCCCAGAGGGCAAGGTGGCATGAAGCAGCCTGCTCCACTGGAGGACTCTGTCAGTCACCACAAGGGGGACCACCACCAGTTGGAGTAACTGGGAAAAACCTCATAAAAGTCAGTTATTATAGCCACTACTTATAGGACGCTTACTATGTGCCAGACAAGTGCAAGTATTTTACATGGATGCTTTCAGTAACCCTCCGCCAGGGAAGTATCAATGTTCTCATTTTCTAGACTAGAATCTTGAAGCCCAAAATAGCTCAGAAGCTTCTCTGAGGTCTCAGAGCTGGGCAGAGGCAGGCTTGGCCCAGGAGTCCGATTCCCCAGCTTGGACTCTCGAGGCTGCACTGTGCTGCCTGCCAGGTGTGAATTACACACATAGGCACCAAGGCAGCTTTTTCTGGAACTTGACAGGGGACTCTGGTTACCAGAAAAGAAGGGTGAGGTGGGGGAGGAGGAAAGGTGCTGACTATCTCACCGTGCCCAGGTCTGCTGTGATTGTCCCAGCGATGCCTGGATCAGCAGTGCAGGTCCCCACTGAGCTCCCTGGGGTGTCTCTTGGGGCAGCACCCTGAGAATCCATACTGCCCGCTGCAGCCATTCCTGATGCACCCTCCGCATGGTGGAGCTGGCGCTGGACAGGGTCCTGTTCATCACTGGGCTTCATCACTGCTGTCTCACTACTGGGCTTCAAGCACTGGGCCAGGAGTCTCCAGGCCTTGGTGTGACCACCTTTCCAAGCCTGGAGCTGGGTCACAGCATGGTGGGCCTTAGCTGCCCACTCCCACTGAAGCCAGTCCAGGATGTGCATTCCCCACTCCTCTGGGTGTTCTCGGACCACAGGGACCCTCTGGGCTACCTCCTTGGTGAGGACAAGAATGCTCTCCAGCGCCACAAGGAGACTCTCCTGGCAGGGCCCAGACTCCTGACCTCCTGCCACGATTTCTTGCACAGCTTGGATACCAGACACCATTCTTTCCAGGGAGCTTTCTGGCCTGGTCTGGGGGTCTCTGCAGACAGAAAGTCTTGGGCAGAAGGCAGCTTGGAGGGCATGTTCATAGTCTGCATTGATGCTGCTGAGATGGCCAGTCAGGGCCTTGGCTCGAAGGGTGAGCTCCAAGTAGAGAAGTTCAAAGCGTGTGGACAGGCTGGGTGATGGTTTGGGGGAGGAGGCCAGGATCTGTGCCACATCCAGCAGAGCTTCTGTGAGCACATGAACTTCCCTGCACAGAAAGGAGATTTCACCCTTTACTTTCTCCTCCCCACACAGTAGGGAAGACAGCCTGGCAGCCTCTTGTAGCCTCCGAGAAACATCTGCTGCCTGAGCCAACCCTTCCTGCAGCCCTTGCTGGTCATTCACAGCTTGTCGCAGGAACAAGAACAGGCCTTGTCTCCCGCTGAGCCTCTCCATGCACTGGAGCAGGTCTTGGATAGTCACTGACCATAGAAGGCACCCATCCTCAATGCTCTCCTCCCATGACTTGAGGTCTTGGAGGCCATCAGAGGCCAGAATCTTGTCCAACAGCTGTTTAGCGTGGGTCTCTGCCTCCTGCAGTCTGCCTTGCATTTGTAAAAGTGCTTCTGGATGCCCAGTCGAGTCAGAATCCTTTTTACCCAAATCCATGGGCCCACTTTTTGCTGCTAGTTGAACCACTGAGGCTAAATTCTGCTGAAGCTCCACAAACACTGCCATGTTTTCTCGAAGATCAGCTGCTGGGTCGTTGCAAAATAGCTGTTGACACAGAGGGTACCAGTCACCAGCCATGGCTACTAAACCCTGCCTGGTTTCCCTAGTTCTGCCAGACAGTTGCAGAGCCACTTCCACAAGCCTATCAGTTCCAGCAGTTGTACAATGTGCTATCTCCCCTGCTAAGTCACTAGCAGAAGGTACCAGTGTTGAGATTTCTTCGAGTCCAGTCATCCTCTTCAACCCCAGTGGTCCCTCCCTAGCCAAGGCCTCTTGAGCTGCATCCACAGCTGCATCCTGATCCTGCAGGCTGCTGCAAGCTGAAGTCACTGCCTGGCTCTCTACAGCAAGGACAAGTTTGCTGATGGCAGGAAGTGGAGAGCCCCCCCTCTGTGGACGGGTGCCAGGAATCCAGGGACTGGAAAGATGGTCCCTGGGCGGATAGGAGGTGCCTAGATCACTTTTCCCTAACCCAGAGCCCCTTTGGTGTTTCAGTTCAGAAACTATGGAGTCCTGAAGGCTGGGGAGAATAAAATAAGGCTGTCTCTTAGCAATATCAAACCTTTGGACTTGGTGTCGAAGGGGGCTGAGGATATCTGGGTGGTTAGTCCCATCCAGACCCTCTCGGATGCTCTGAGCTGAGCAGATCAGATGCTTTGCCATGGTTAAAAACGCATCTGTGTCCTGAGAGCTGTGCCCACCTGAACAGCGCTCAGCAGCTGCACCCAGGACCAGGGAAGATTCCTCCAGCTGCCGAATCAAGACTCTCAGGCCATTCCGGAAAATGGGATCTCGATCTTGGTCCACATACCTGCTCATCACCTGCCCTATGTGCGTGGCTCGGCCCTGTAAATATGCCACGAGTCGAGAAAACTCTCTAGAATCTCTCTTCCTCAAAGCCCATGTAAAGAAGTCCAAGCGCTTGGTCATTTCCTGAATGGACACACCCAGGAACTCAGGAATATTGAGAACGTCGTCAAAACAGGCCAGTAGGCCTTCAGATGCCCTGGCCCACGCCTGAAGCACGGCCTGCAGGGCGGCGGGGCTCCAGTCCGGACCAGACCCTTCGGGGCTTTGCGAGAAAAGCTGTTGCACTCTGACCACAAGCTCCCAGAGGCCCGCCGTGGTGGCCTCGACGTCTTTGCCAGTTTGTTGTCGGGAGCAGCAAACCCAGACTAAGTGCGCCACTCTGAGCATCTGCTTGGCCTGGTCCTGGAAATCAGCAAGGAGAAGCTGGAGGCTCTTTGGCTGGCCCTCGGCATCGCGCGGAGAGCTGAAAGGGGGAGCGGCCAAGGCGGCCTGGACCAGCCTCTGAAGAGGACTTTGCGTGTCGGTGAACGTGTCCAGGATCTGGCGCAGTAACCCAGCGCGGACTCCCTGGGCGAGGGCCTCAGTCGCGGCCTGCAGCGCTGCGCACTCCTGCCCCGGCGGCAGGCTCGCCAGGCCTGTCCCCGGAGACCCATCGATCCGGCCCAGGCGCCGGCCGGCGCCCCGCAGCTCCAGCAGCCGGCGGCAGAGGGCCACCAGGCGCAGCCTGTCGGGCGGCGCGGAGCAGGCGGCCAGGCGCATGCAGGGCCAGAGCACGGCGGCCAGGAGCGCGTCCCGCGGGCCTTCGCGCGCCTGCCCGGGCCCGGGCGCCGCCAGGAGCTCGCGCAGCTGCCGCAGGCGCCGGGGGAGCGCGCCGCTCCGGGCACTGGACGCAGGGGCCGCGGCGCCGGGCTCCAGCCGCGCCAGGAGCTCGCCGAGCGTCTGCCTGGTCAGAGCGAAAACGTGGCCCCGGGAGGCCGCCAGCTGCGGGTCGCGCGGACGCCGGAGGTGGCCACGGGCGGCCGCGAGCAGCGCGGGGACACAGCGCCGCAGCATGCGGCCGGCGCGGCCCAGGCGCCCCCCGGGCCCGCGCGCGGTCAGGCCGCCCAGGCCCCGCAGCGCCGCGGCCAGATCCGCGAAGGGGCCGCGCAGCGAGGCCGCGTCGCCCGCCGCCTCCAGCGCGTCCAGGCAGGTCAGGCACCATCCCGCCGCCCGCACCACCTTCCTCGCCATCGCAGCGTCTTCCAGGAGCAGGACCTGCTCGGGCAGTGAGGGGAAGAGAAGCTTGAAAATGCTAGCACGTTTCTGGAGCGATAGGGAGAGCAAGGGCAGCTGCCTTCCCCCCTCCCCGCGTCCAAACGTCCCAAGACTAAAGCGTATAGAATCTCAGCGTCCCCTTCCCCCAAAAAGGCCACCTCATCTAGGAGTGACATATAAAGAAAAGTCACCTGGAAGAGACGTTTAAAGAAAACGTTTGGCTTAACTGAAAATGTAAGGCCTCTTAAATTTGAGCTACATTAAATGCGGGGTCCGATCTGGGTTTGCAGTGCCCACCTCCGGGTTAGAGGAGGAACGGTCAACCATCTACATGGTAACCAACAGGCAAGGAACTGAAGAGTGTTTAGGAAAGACATGCTATTGGGATGAGGATGATGGGGGCTGGAGAGATGGCCTGTCCAGGAAGTGCCTCTGAGTAGCCTTTCCGAGCCTGACTCTGCCGCTCCTGGATGGCTCTATCACCCTTTGCAACCGAGCTGGTACCAGCCACTTCCACGAGCCTGACCGTCTTCCTCTCTCCTCCTCCCATCAGCAGGTGCCGGAAGCACTCTGGCTCCGCCTCTCTCATCCCCCCCATTCCCAATCTTACTTTAATGAGGATCTCTTAATTTACAAATACATCCACCCCGATAACTCACACTACTAAAGTTTTAATGGTGAACGGTATTAATATTTGATAATATTTAAGGCATATAGATGTTAACAAGGAGCAACGTCCCACCCTAAAAGAGTTGTGCCGTGTGATGGAACTTGAAGATGGAGAATGAAGGTGAGGGGTTATCCAGGCCCCATGAGATCCTTGGAGCTGGAGGTCAATGCAGCAGAGCTTTCATTCTGGAGCCAGTTTGTCAAATAGCATGACAGTGGTAGAGGTTTCCGTGGCTTCTCCCCATAGCTCCAGTCTCGGGTAGAGTGGAAAATGAACACCTCAGTGACACCTTTTTATTAGGGGTTAGTGGCCAAGTGTGGGGGATGAGGGGACCACATGTGGGTTTAAGATCATAGCTCCTACCTCAGTATGCCTACCTGGCTGCCTATGCCAGCCTCCACATTTAGCATTTATTAAATTGGTAATAAACTCTGTGCCTACAGTCTTGGCAGAAACTTGGGCAAATTTCTCTCTCTGAGGCCCGTGTCTACTGTGGGAATGACATGCCCCATCCATGTTTCCCACCAGTGAGCTCTCTGTTCAGACCAAGCAGCCAGCCAGCTCTGACATCAGCCTCACCTTCGTGGTGGCCACTAGGATCCGCTGAGCTGTGGTCACTAGCTCCTCCTGGTGGCTCTGACAGTCCGGCTGAAGATGGAGCTTCTGAGCGACCAGCGTCATGTTCCTCCCGGAGAGGATCAGAGACTCGGCAGCAGGCCCCATTTCCTCGCGGAGCCACTCCTCCTCAGAGTCTCCTGCCAACCTGATCAGACACGTTTCCACTCAGCCTTCACCAACATCTCCATGAATGTAATGTTACAAAAAAGAACTATACCCATAAGGAAACTGTGCTACATAGATGTTACAGAGCACCGTGAAGCCATTAAAACGGTGACATGGGTCTGTATTTATGGTGATAGAAGCCTCTCCAGGACATAGTGTTGAGTAAATAAAACCAAATTGCAGAATAGCATGTATGGCAAGATCTCATCTGTTTTCAATTATGTGCAGAGCTGCATAGAGAACCATTTATCTAGAAGGATAATCACCAAACTGTGGATCTATCTTAGCATTTTAAAATATGCTTTGTTCCCTTTTGAATTGCTCTCATTTTCTCTGCAATGAATGTGTATAATTACTGCAAAAAACAATAATGTCTAGAATCTCATTTTGATCCATGTTATCAAGAGGAAGAGTTTTTGTGTAACAAAAAAATCGGTTTCTCTGAACACAGATGTCCACAGCAACCGTTTTGTTATGTGATTGCAAAAACCTCTCTTTCAATAATCATCCCCATCCACATAAAACAAAACAAGAAAAGTCCCACCTGTTCTGGCCCTTGTCCTTATAATGGTTATTCTTCACAAATGAGGCTGAGGTCTATGCCTTTGGAATTGCAGGCTGGGAGGACACAGGAGTGCCAGCTCAAGTGATCGCCGAGATGCTCCTTTCAGCTTTTGGTCCCTTGCCGAGTGACAGCCAATTTCAACGCCCCTCATCCCTTCCTGCCTCGGACATCCCAGCTACCCTCATGGGAGATACCCCTTGAGTTCCCATGTGCAGAATCACACCAACCCGAACAACTCAGCATAGCAAAATGCCGAAACATGGGGGGAAAAGGGAAGGCGGGAAGGATGCGTGACAGCTGTCTCCTCTTGTTTTACTTCTGACTCCTTGTGGGGGATTTGCACATCAGCTGCAGCTGACACTCAGGCTGCTTGGTCCAGAAATATGACTGTGCCACACCCTGGCAGCTGTTCACTTGCAAAGCTGGGGCCCTCACCCACACAGCCCAGCTTCCTGAATTTTCTCATTTCTCAACGTTAAAAGGAGGGGAGAGATACAAAGCTGTCAAGGATCAGGGCTGTATACGTGAAATGAGGTCGTGGAGTCCAGTGTTAAGGCAATGTATTGGTTGTGTCGTAATATGACCTTGACTGCAAGATAGTTCACAGAGACAAAGCCTGCAATGATCTGCCCAAATAAATCTTCTGATGGAGAAAGAAGCTACAAATGAGGAAAAGGGAAGGCAAGAAAGAACCTTGTAGTGTTGGACTGGAATTAGAAATATCAGTATGACTTACACACATATATGAATATGTATTCAGGCACATAGAGATAAATATCAAGGTATGTGTATCCATGGATCCATGTGTATCCATGGATCCATATATTTCTTTCTTCTTCCTTTTTTTTGGTTTGAGGAAGATTAGCCCTGAGCTAACATCTGTCGCCAGTCCTCTTTTTGCTGAAGAAGAGTGGCCCTGAGCTAACATCTGTGCCCGTCTTCCTCTATTTTATATGTGGGATGCCTGCCACAGCATGGCTTGGTAAGCAGCACATATGTCCGTGCCCATGGTCTGAGCCTGCGAACCCTGGGACGCTGAACAGAGCTTGTGAACTCAACCGTTATGCCACCGGGCCAGCCCATGCATATATATATTTTTTAGCTCTGTCTGCTGAGAGGCCCTAGGAACAATGATACTCCAGTAGTAATGAGCATATTTAGATTCCAGATCTTGGCTTCTCAATACTATTTTTCAGTAAAAGAAACCAGGACTCCTTGGGGAAGAGGTTGATTCCAGGGCCTGGGCCAGAAAAATACAAGCTGAGCTTAGAAAATAGGGAAATGCTTTTTAAAAAAAATGGAAATGTGTCAAAATGACACAGGAGCCAATTAGAAGGAGCCTCCAATGACCAAAACTGGAATGAATTGAACAATAAAATAAATAATGACAGTATTGAATCATAACCCATAGGATGAAATAAATACCTATGAGCCTATAGTGTATGAATAATTGAATAAATAAATAAATGGAGGAGAAAGGATAACATTTCTGTACAGAAGAATTCCAATTAATATAGAAAGAATGAGGGAAATAAAATATTATCATCAGGTAAATATCGTAGTAACAATTCTTGCAGGCAAGATACACTGATAGATGCTAGAATTGATGGATGAAAGTTTGAGGAGAAACAGAACAGTTGCAGAAATTTCTCCAAGATACTTACCAGTTACAAAGGGAAAAATAGTGGAGAAATCTATTAGACAGCACTTTAACCAAGTGATAAAGTTTAAAATCACTGGTAATAAGACACATCAATGTCATGATAAAATGCATACAGAAGGACACAACATCACTTCTGTGGTACCCTCAGTACAGACTGAGGTACGTAACCTCAATCTAATCATGAAAAAGAAAGGACAAATCCAAATTGATAGATATTCTTCAAAAATAACTGACCAGTACTCATCACAGTGTCAAGGTCATGAAAGACAAAGAAAGAATGAGGAACTGTCATAGATTGGAAAAGCTTAAGGGGAGACAAACACAATGTGGAATCCTGAATTACATCCTGGAACAGAAAAAGAACATTAGGAGGAAAACTGGTGAAATTTGAATGAGGTCTGTAGTATAGTTAATAGCATTGTACCAATGTTTACTTCCTGGTTTTGAAAATTGTACTATGGATATATAAGTTGTTAACACTAGAGAAAGCTATGTGAAAGGTGTACCTGAACTCTGTATTATTATTTTTTTTTTGAGGAAGATTGGCCCTGAGCTAACTTCTGTTGCTAATCTTCCTCTCCCTGCCCTCTTTCTCCCCAAAGCCCCAGTACATAGTTGTATATCCTAGTTGTAGGTTATTCTAGTTCTTCTATGTGGGACGCCGCCACAACATGGCTTGATGAGCAACACATAGGTCCACACCCAGGATCTGAACCAGTGAACCCTGGGCCACTGAAGCAGAGGGCACTAACTTAACCACTGGGCCATGGGGCTGGCCCCTCTGTATTATTTTTTAGGAGATTTCTTGAAGTAAAGTTGACATACATATATTTAAGTATAAAATTTAAAAAGCTTGACATATGTGTTCACCCATCAAACCATCACCATAATCAAGATAACAAACATATCCATCACCTCCAAAAGTTTCCCAAAGCCCCTTTGTGCTCCCTCACTCCTGCATTACAATCCATGCCCCCCTCCCACCTCTCCCTGCCACTGATCTGCTTTCTGTCACTATAGATTAGCTTGCGTTACCTGGAGATCTGTGTAAATGAAAAAATCTACTCTTTTTTTGTCTGACTTCTTTCATGCAGCACAGTCCTCTTTGGGATTCCTCCATGTCCTTTGTCATTCATTCCTTCACAGTGCTGAGTAGTCTTCCATTGTATGCCTTTGCCAACTTTATTTATCCATTCATCAGTTGAGGGACATCTGGGTTGTTTTCAACATTTGGCTATTACAAGTAAAGCTGCTATGAGCATTAGTGTACAGGACTTTGTATGGACATCTGCTGT